AGTAATTAGTTAAGAGTAGTTAACTAGACTATCCTGCTTAATTATTTGATGATATTAATTATTTTTTCTTAATTTTTGTCAGGTTCTCGTCCTGGAGTTGGAGTTGAACGTCGACGTCGACATGATGACCCTCACCACTTCTGTTATTGGGACTGGCAGTGCAAGTACATGGCAACATGCCCACCTGGATGCAACGCTGACCAATGTAACAATGGATATTGCGCATGTACTTGTTAGTAAAGAATTTAACACCATTTCTCAAATAAAAAGTTACCACATAAATAAAACTAGGAATAAAAATGAGGTACGGACTAAATGAATGTGTTGAAATTTGATCCGATCTGTTATATGAATAAACTCTAAATTGTTTCTTATTTTATCGAATGAAGACTATGATTGGTCACATACTGTTTTATTTTTTTATTTAAAAAAATGGCACATTTGCTATCAATCTCTTAGTTAGTTATATGCGCAAATACCACCTGAAGAAAAAAAAAAAACTAATAAGTAATAACCATCTAAGTGCCACCTACATGTGGAGAGAAATGAAAATTCTAAATGAATTAACGAAATTTTCAGTAGCTTCAGTAATAGTAAAGAAACAATCCCCTTCTTTAATAAGAAACTAGTCTCCCTGCTTGCGCTCAAGTGCATGCAAGAGGACTTTTTTAATATATAACTAGTGCTAGACGCTCTTAAAAGTGTGTTTCGTTAATTTTTTATTATTGTTATTCATTTGGTATAGACATGAATTATGCCGCTATAGTAATTGTGGCTTTGGGTTTTACACTTCCTGGAATCAAAGGAGGGATGGATCAACTGGGCACTGATGGAAGAATTGGATGACGAAAGGGTACTTCTCATCAGATACAGAAGATACTTTTGGAACGTATCCTTTGAATTGGTTTGTATCCTTTGAATTATTGGTTTATATCCTTTCATCGACAGATATGAAATTCCTAGCGATAGGCTTCGATCTGTTCCCCTGACAAAGATATTTAATTCACTCACAACTACACTTTCATATTAAACATGCATCATTTTAAGCACTCAATTAAGTCCGTGTCTTAGAACCACGAGTTGGTGAATGACGGATTGTGAGGCTTTCTTCAAACTAAAAATCGAAGGTCTCGGGTTTGAAACCCATTGCTGGTGTAAAAGCTAGATTTGTGATCAGAGGAGGCTGAAATGCCTTTGTCAGTTTTCCCGCCTTCAGAAAGGATGGATAACCGTGACTTGCCACCTCCTCCTTTTAAAGAGAAAAAAAAAGTTTGTTCTTAGAGTCGTTGAGAGAGTTGGGTTCGCTTGTTATTGTGGTTTGGAGTGCTACTATCACAAGGACGGAAGATTGTTGTATCTTAGGAGATAAGTGCCGGCTTATCATGAGCATCCGTATGGGACGTAATATTATCTTAAAAGCATTCGTTAATTATCAATTAAAAACTCTATTGCTTCGCATGAAAAAAAATCTATATATACGTTTGGAGAGATTCTAGTATCTTATTAAATTGTGAGAATTCCGAATTCCCGTGGTCCATTTTAATTAAGGGAACTTTAACGAAAATTTTCCGGTACTGTTTATTTTAACGAAAAATCAAATTTTTACACTAAAAAGTCAATTATGATACTATTCACTTTACCCTTTATTTTGTCCTTATCGTTAAACTTAAAATTTTCAAGTCATTTTCATTAATTTTCTTTTTAATTAATAATTAGCAAATAATTTCCAAGAAGCTTACGAATTTTCCAATGTTTGACAAAAGTAGTGGCACGTCAAGAAAAGTCCGTTCCCATTTTCCATATAACATATTAGTCTAGATTTGTAGAAAGTCAAATACATGATACGATATCGATTATTTTTTCTTTTTATTAGTATTAAATAAAAGAAGAGGACTGTAACCATGTGATTACATTCAAAAAAGAGATTATACTAATTAATCAAGGCCCGGCAGAACTTGTTAAACGGGAGAGATTATTTTTATTAGAGAGTTGGATTATGTAATCTTGTTAACATCACCTCAATATACAAGCTGGTCAAACTTAAGAAGTGGCACGCATAATTGCAGACATTCCATGGCATTGAAATATGCAAAACAAAAGCTTTCCTGCCGACTACACCTATAATAGTAACCATGTGGGTTGCCAAGTTGAAGTTCATAATATATAAAAGAAAAATTAATTTTCAATAGTTTCGTAGGAAAGCACCACAAACTCGCATTTTTCTCTTGTCAACCAACAACTATTTTATCACAATTGAGTTCAGAAGTTCATTCAACAAAATGGAGACTGATATCATTACTCCAAATAATTGTTGACAAATGTAGCACATTAGATCAGTTCACATTGTTAAAAGTTTGAAATTAGTGTTGAGAGTACAAATTCGACATCGGAGATAAACGAAACTTTGCATGTGCTTAGAATAATTTGGTTACTTCCTGTATTTCTGATTAATTTTATAGTGAAACCTCAACTTCCTACATTTAAAACACATCCACAAGTCTAATAAGAACCAAGACTTTTTAGCCAAAATGGTTCTTGGGATTAACATAATTAGCTCCTCAATTTAATTGGTCATTGAGATTGAAAATCAATATAAGTGGTTCATGAGTTTGTCCACCGTTAATTATTTTGGTCTTTACATGAAAAATCTCCATTAAATTGAGGATATTTTTGTCCAATCAACCTCTCCACTTGCTTTCTATTTAATGGGGATTTTCCACTGAAAGACCCAAATGATTTATGGTGAAAAATTAGGGACCACTTCTATTAATTGTCAATCTCAATAATCAAAGTGAGGAGTTATGTCAATCTCTTTTCACACTCCTTGTTATTGTTCATGCGCAAACTGTGTAAATACATCAGGTTATAGTTGCCAAACAATATGTAGATTCAGATTTAAACATCTTTTTACATATTGAAATTAACCCCACTTAGCTTGGAGCCAAAAACCTCCTTTACACAACTTCTCCCGTTGAAGATGCTGTTAAAACTTGTGAACAAGTGAAGACTTTTCAAGCAAAAAATATAAAAAATAAAAAGAAATAGTAGGCTCCAGTATGCTTGTGCTGATATCAGTGGTCCAGCAGAATGCATTGCACAACAAATTGACAAGAAATGGTACTAACAATCAAATTACAACTTTGGGTATCTATATATCCGATCGATATTTGCACATATCTGCAACCAAAGCTAAGGTTCTCCACGGCGGCAAACATGCATGCATATTTGGACCACCGAATTGTTCAGCACAAAATCCTATATTTACATGCGTCGGTGAAAAATACACAAAGTCATGACCTGTAATTATACGTGACAGCTAGAGATAGAGAAGCGGCAGCGACACAGGGAGGGAAAAACACGGTAACGTACGTCTGAAAAATAGCTGGACCTCAATAGAACAGATTCTGTATATATGTGAAACTTGGAGACCAAGATTATTACTAGCATTATTCGATATGTCCCTTTTGCTGCTATCGCAGATGGAAGAAGCTAGGGTATGACACATCGCACATGGCTTTCTCATTTTTGTATATTTGTTGTTTAATTTGCAATGGAAACTTTGAAGGAATATTTGGATTAGATCAATCTCTCCTTCGTAAACAACGTTTTTTTCAGGATCTCTCGATACCTTTTTTCGTTTGAATATGAATTTGGCACTCCCAGTTTAACTGCAAAAACGCTTTGAATCGATTATTTTACAACTCGCTGGTGGTCTTGTTATCACAAAATGATTAGAATAGCTGGCTTCCGTTGAATTTGAATTATAAGACAAAAAAGGGCATTTTCATGGAAGTAAGATGTCAAACTAGGAATTATAAATACTTTAAATTCGAATCGACAGCCCATTTGATGTATGCCGCATTTAACCGCATATTTTGTAGGGATATATACACATATATTTGTTACCTTGATATCGATGGGTGTAAGTGTAACCGTGTAAAATGCTAGAGTGTCAAAAGAGAACTCAATGCTTGAGAATCTCAAAACACGGTCTTGGAAATGTGTCTTGGACTCGTGGTCCAGCTATACAAGCTCTACTTCACACTCGTGTGTATGCTTTCTAAGAGTATGAACACCTTCAAATTGAAAGTCCTATTACGTTATAGACCAGACAAAATTGGTCCACTAATATCACACGAGAAATTTCCAATCGACCTAGAGAAATTCCATTGAAGCAAATTACATTCCCGGTCGGAAGTAGGATTATGTATAGAGGACCGATTGAGAAGATAACAAAAATTCAACAATGTATAGTTTTCAAGAAAAGACAAATGAAAACGGCTATAGCATATGTTATAGATTGTCGATCAAGTTGCATCAGAGATAGCTTAGATTGATACACTATGTCTAACAACATCATATGTCAAACTGTCTAAAGTGGCTCGAACATTCTCATGTACATGTTACTACTTGAACCTTAATATATAGTTGCATCAGATCATGCATCTATATATATATGATATAAAAATATTCATAACTCATCCAGCACCCCGACCTGCATATGTATTCAGGGATGGAGGAAACAAAACTATATCTATCAATAAAATTTCAGATACAGAATACTATAGTTAATGCAGATGATTTAGATGTTTCGATTTTCCACGTTTTTCTTCAGCCACTTACACATGTACATGCACCTCACTACCTTAAATATATAAGGACCGTATATATTTCATGCATGGATCTACCTTTACTGCATATAGTAGTAGTAGAATATGTAAATCTCAATAACCTACATGAATGAAATTTCAATTTCGCGTGCTTACTCTTGAAGCCAATATTGGCAACCACATTTCTCTTCAATCTTCATGCATGTAGATATATTAAGACTTCCATGGCAATCAAATAAAATCCTTGAATTTTATTTGTTTATATTTAATTTATATTAAGACTTCCATGGTGATCAAATAATCCTCGAATTTTATTTGTTGATAGATGTGCATGATAATTAAAGATCAAAATCACTAGGGTAAAACTTATAATTATGAAAACGATCGAGAGAACGAATGAACCTTTCTTTCACTAACTAGCTAGCAATAAATTAATGAAAAGCCTCAGTAGGCAAAACAGAAGAAGATGGATCAGTATCATCATAATGGACATGTCCAAAATGATTAGTTCCAGTTTCTAGCTAATTGAGAATTAATTAACAAACCTCTAAACCGGGTCTTCATAATGCTTGCTACATATCCTCTCTTCTAAGCTTGTTTAGCAAAGCAGTTATAAGAGCATCCCTCTTCTCGGCTCTAGCCTCCTCCCTCAATCTCCTTTGCTCCTCCCTCTCCCTCCATCTCGTCTCCATCATTATCCTCTCGTTCTCCAACGCTTCCATCCTCTGCCTCCACTCCATCTCCTTTAACCGCCTCTCGTTCTCCCTTGCTTGAAACTCTTCCCTCCATTGCATTTCCATTTGCATTTGTTGCTTCATGAACCCCTCCAATATCTCCCTCACATTATTTCCACTTGCACTCCCACTAGTACCGCTGCTTCCGATATTGCTCATCTTCACCTTTTTCTTTTTGTTCCTCGCCGTGCTTCCCTTATTCTCTGCCTCGCTATCCTCGTTATCTTCCTCATCGTCTGAAGAAAGAGTTTTCTTCTTCGACCCGCTTGCAGCTCCGCTTTCTTCTGCCCACAGCATTCTCTGGATCCGTGCAGCGAAAATCGCTTGTAGCTCATTGTAAAACGGGAATTGCTGCCTCATAGCTTCCGGCTCCATTGTCTCACAACCCTAATTATATATAATCACAAAGCAAGAAATAAATACGTACATAATAGCACTGTATACTTATCAAACGCATGAAGGCTGTGTGGTAAAGCTTTGCAAGGGCTTGTAGCTCAGCTTATTAAAAAACATTTACTCATACACCCAAGGTCTTCGGTTCGTTCTCACTAACCTTTGAAGATTTTGGTTGAGGAAATAAGGAAAAGCAAATCCTTAAATGAATTAGTATGTTTTCAAAGTGTGTGTGTTGATTAGATGGAAGATTAATTAGTTTAATTAGATAGATATAATTTTAATCTAGTAATTATTTGGGTTTAGTAACATGTCTACCTTGTAACGAGTAACGAGGTTTTTCCACTTGCACTTGCACTGTTCTGCGCTGCGATGGTGACCCTTTTCCTTCATCTTCGTAGAAATCACTTCCCACAGAAGCTTGTTTCTCTTTGTCTCCATAAAAGTCTGATCGAGCTCGGCTCTGATCAGAAGCAAGTCCTTCGTCTCCTGAACGCTCCATTGAGGAAACCTATCACTCGCGTCCACCTGTACAGTTGCAGTACTAGGATGCTGCTGTTGAAGCTGCTGCTGCTGTTGTTGTTGAAGCTGAAGCTGAAGCTGCTGGGGATGATGTTGCTGCTGGTGGTGATGTTGGAAATGATGAGGATGATGTTCCATGACAACAAACGTAATCTTAAACAAAAGCGCTATCGTGAAGATGAAGCTTTTGTGGTTCGGAAAAGCCGATGGGACTCAAAGAAAGAAAGAGAAGGATAAAGCTTTGATTATATGAAGGTTGGTGTGAATGGAAGGTGTGAATCCATAAGGACGAAAAGGAAAGAGAGAGATTTTGATCATCTTTTTTTTTTTTTTTTAATCGCTTCAAGAAAGCGCAGTTTAATTATTTTTCGTTCAGATTTGATAGAATTCAGAAAAAAGAACGAATTAAAACAAAGAAAAAGGAGAGAAAGAGAAGGAAGGAAAAGAAAAGCTTTTATTTTATATTGTGTTTCTCAATTGCTTCTTGCTGTTTAGCTTCTCATCTGTCTACGCGGAAACTCATTTTCCTTTTCTGTTTCTCTCTCTATTTTCTCTCTCTATCTTTTGTTTTAGTGTACATACATGATCCCATTTGTTCCCATTGCGTTTACGTGTCGTCACGCTTACGAGAAAAGTCTTGCTCTCAGCACCCTGTTTTTTTTTTTTAATCTTGGACTCCAAGCCTTTTAATTGCCTTTTAATTGCTTCTTTACACAGTTCTCTCAATTTTGGCTAGCGAATTGGACGAATTGAAAATAATTAATTATAAAAAATTAACAACGTTATACGGAAGATATAAACGAGTGTGTGAATAACGATTTTAATTTATCAAGTTTTTGTTCTTCAAGTTTCTGGTATTTGCTTTTTGATGCGTGTGAAGGTGACAATAAATTTAGAGAAAGTGGGAGGGGGGTCGCTTCCAGATATTCCGTGGGTCACAAAGCGGCAAGGACCTTGATTTGCAAGCTTTTGCATGAACTTTTACATCTAAAGGTGCAAAAGGATTTATGTTTATATCTTGAAGAGATTTTTTTTTTGTTGTAATGTCACTTGTATTATCATGTTTATGCGCTGAGTTTTACTAGGAAAAGAAAAGACTTTTACTTGTCGGAAATAAAATCAGTGTATGAGAAATTAGAAGTTTGTAAAAATCAGCTCTTTAGTTACATATTTAAAAATGTTTATACCTTTTTATTTAAGAGTAATGTTAGGTATATTAAATTTGTAGACTAAACTTGCAAAATAAATGTGTAGCCAATATGAATGAGCAAATTTATCAACACTTAAATAATAAATCAATCATCAGCTTCCATGTACTTTAGTTTCTAAAATTGTCTTCAAATTTAGTCTCCTTAGCATTACCCTTACTTAAAACTCCTTTTATTGCTTGATACCACATTTTTAGGTACATGACGTCTTTCTTTTATTGGACCTGACAAATTAACCCATTAGGTTTTTAATCGGTACTCAATGGCATAACGAGTACCTATTTAGTTTGATTTCATTGTAATAAGGTGTATTACATTGTCATCACTACTACTATTCTCACTAACTATCAATATTACCATTACATTAAACTCATTGGCTACTCATTAAGAACTCAATGAGTTAATTTGTCAGATCTATCAAAGAGATAGCTTTCGATATATATTATTAGTTAGGCTCAATTGTTTTGAGGTTTTTCTTTTGTAAGTGTTACAAATCTAATTTATGTAAACTACACCTTTTAAATCACTTTCTAATTGTTTGAAGGGGAAACGTTATTTCCGGTTTTTGTACTACATTCGTGATAGTTTTTTAATTATGTACAATTTTGATCATATAACTAAAAGGATTTCATTTTTTCAACTATATAATAATAGAATAAAATTGTTAAAATTGGAAAGTGTTACTACAGTATAGCCTCTCTAAAGTTATACGGTTGGTACCAAACCAATTTTTAACTTTATATAAGTTACTTAAGGTGTAACAAAAAAAAAATTATTTATTGACTTATTTATTTTTAATGAATGTGTTATTGCCAATTAGGATTGGTTGAATTAATAAGGATCGTTCTCTTCGTTAGACCAATGTTTAATTAGGTGCGAATCTCATTGCCTGGGCGATCTGTAAAACCCAAAAAAGGGGGGCAAAGACCCCCTCTGTATGTCCTCAAAGAAGCTTGTGGTACTTTCTAACCCTAGAATGAGGTAGCCTCCCTCCTCGAAACTTAAAAAAAAATGTTGTATTTTCTAAATAGGATTTCTTGCGTGCCAAGTATTTTGTTTCTCATATATTTTGTATTCATTGATAATTATAACCATTTGAAATCGTGCTTCTTTAATATGGGGCCAAGAAAAATTATAACTTATTTATCATATGGAGTTTATTGCAATATATAAATGATTAATGTATTTTCTAAATAGGATTTTTTGAGCTATGTATTTTATGTCTTGCATATTTTTGTACTTATTGACAAATATAACTATATATCAAGACGTGTCTCCTTAAAATACGACAAATTACAATATAAAATTTATTCCAATACACAACTGATTTCAAATTGAGACAATTTTTTTAAAACCTTCAAGAAGCTAGTCTATTATAGAGTATTAATTTAAATTGTTTTTACCGTACCACAATAAAATTTTATTGTCTCTAGAGTCAGAGATGGATTGTCTGCTCTCCCTTTCCCATGTTCTTCTATTTTGTGCTGTTACGGTTAAACCACGTTAACATTTTATATTAATTTTTTTTATAAAAATAATAAGATAAAAAATAAATTTTAACGTGATTTAATCGTGATCGTATAAAACAGAAGGGCATGAGAAGGTACGAAGAGTGGAGGGCAGTCGATCCATCTCCTCCAAAGTCTAGACACTCTCTGTGGGCCGTTATTATTTTAATCAGCCACGCGTTATTCTGCAATATCTCGTGTGTTGACAACTTGACGCCTACCATGTATTTCCACGTGGCCTGCATGCAGATATGATAAACGAGAAATGCCTTGGACCCACCAGTCTCATGGTTCACACTTGTGCCTGGTGTGACCCATTCGAATTATTTGACCCGAGAATGTTATATCAAGATATTCTCGGTTGATAGATTACCAAAATGGTCATGGACACTTGGAGGAGAAACGGAGGGAAGGAGTGCGGTGGATGACCGACTTAGGTGGATTTTGTGGAATTTCGCAATTTGAATTGGGAGGTAGAACGTCTTTTGTTGAATGTGATGGTGTTGTATTTGTGTGTTTCTATGGTGAGACCAGGGTGAAAGCAAGTTGTTTTCGTTGGAAGGACGAACGGTGTACCGTGGTGGATTAGAGAAAATTTTCAATGTGTCCAGAATATAGATCGGAGTATTGCATGTCATTATAAGATTAGATGACACTTTAATGAGAAAGATTTTCTTCAATTGTATAATAACATGTAGTGCTCTGTCTATATTTCAACACACGGAAAAATCTCTCGATTGACCACACCATTGCCTTAATAAGTTTAAACTTGTCATCAACTCTAATTTTACACTTATCCAATCTCTTCTTTTTTTTTTTTTTTCTTCTTCTTTTGAGATGATGAGAAAACTAGTTACATTTCCGTTTAATCTCTTCAATTGTTCTTCACATTTTACAACGTTAGACAATCATCTAAATCCTCTATTTTTAAGGCCAACCTTTAAATATCAACTCTCTCAAAACTACTAAAATCTAAAATCGTTTAGTCATCACACATTTATCCAAATATATAGACGAACTATGTAATAACCAATATAATTGAATATCCAGATGACATTAGCACATTGGTTTATGTTAGTTAAGCTTGCCATGGTGTAACGAGTTGGATTGAATAGGATTGGACTGTATTGCCACACAGGTTTGGTAGTTATCACTGTACTAGTATACATACACTACTACTGTATTGCCTTCGGTTCATTAATTAGAAACCATTGTGATTCAATTCTCTCTCTTTCTCTCTTGCTTTCTTCTTCTGCAATTCATCTTTTTTCTCTTCTGCAATTCATAGTTTTTCTACATAATTATAGATTCATAACTCTGATTCAGTAGTGTTAGGACAATGTTCTTTAGTTAAATACTTAAATTGACAACGTTAACCTCAATTGCATGATTTATAATTTGGGTGATTTTTTTGCAGAGTTGATCAATGGACTAAAAAACGATTTTGATCACTGTGCAAGGTTGAAAGATGAGAATAAGAGCCGAAAAGGTAGAAGAAGAAGGTCTGACTAAGAAAATAGATAACGTTCCCGCAAAGGCCAATAATTGTTTGGTGGTAATATTTAGAACCATATTCTCGTACATTAATAACTTTCTCATATTTTGGATATTCTCAAATCTAGAAGTGGAGATGTTTAAGAAATTGTCCATAAAAAAAAAGTTATTAATTACCTTAAATTGGTGAACACACTTCACCTACTACACATTATACACTAGTGGAAACCGTAAAGAAAAATAAACTAAAATGACAATATTTTTAGTTATTTCTTTTAGCGATTGTCAATATTTGTAGTTAGAAATTGAAATGACTTTGACTCAAGCAAACCTTACTAAGTATGATTTTGCTCCTTCAAATTCAAAGGGTTATAAGTGATGAACAAGTCAAATTTCAATGGTGTGCAAAGCAACCTTAGTTGGCTTTCATATATCATCTGAAAAGGAGAACATAGGAACAAGTAATTTTAAGGGGTGTGCCAAGAAACCCTAGTTGACTTTCATATATATCGTCTGAAAAAGAAAATGTAAGCTTATAATTAAGTAGGACATTAACGTGATTGGTAGTATATAGTGGTTGAATTTAGCCCTAAGCTCACAGGGCAAACCCTATTCTCCCTGATTAGGTAGAAAACAACAACTAATTTGTTGAGTTAAATAAAAAAGGGAGCGGGTACCTCAGTTGGTGTCTTCAAATTGGCCACCAAATTAAGCGATGGTCAAGCTGTGCAGGTGTGCATGCATAACGCGCAGTAAATAATTAACCGAAGATGTTGGCGTTAATTTGGTTTTCTGTACAAAGTGGTGCAACAAAAGTCCAATCCAAGGGTATTAACTTGACGCGTTTGGAAACACTCAAGAAAAAATTTGGTCGGTATTCAGATTTGGATAATATTTCATTACAAGGAGAATGCGGTGCGATTAATGCATTTCTCTATCATATAAATTTCATATTTTATTTTAGGAAATTCTACAGTACCTTATTATAAAAATAAAGGGATCGATACCATTTAAGACGATACACTATGATGGTTCAAAATTACATTGAAAGTTTACATAATTATCTTGACATATTTAATTACACCAAAATGAAGTTTGATATTACTGTACCAATTTTGCCTTTTATGACGTGGACGTTAGATTACATTGTTAGGATAGTATATTATAGTTGGATATTACCGCATTACAATTTAACGTTCCAATTAAATGGTACTGATACCTTAGTTTTTATTAGTAAGGTACCGTAGACGTAATCAACCCTACAAAAAATCATTTGAATCAGAAATTTAGTCATTCAAATGTATGGAAGAAATCTGCTGACACACCCCAACCGAAATCAAGGTGTGCTGGCCGTCACGTGAGGGTGACATAGTGTCACATCCCAGCCTGGGGTGGATCACTTTTGGGGCCCGCTCCACCACCGTAGCACGATATTGTCCGCTTTGGGCTTACCATTCCCTCATGGTTTTGTTTTTGGGAACTCACGAGCAACTTCCCAGTGGGTCATCTATCATAGGATTGCTCTCGTGCACTACTCGCTTAACTTCGGAGTTCCCATGGAACCCGAAGCCAGTGAGCTCCCAAAAGGCCTCGTGCTAGGTAGGGATGGGAATATACATTTAAGGATCACTCTCCTGGACGATATGGGATGTCACACGTAGCCATGTGCACAGTGCGGAAGCAAAATATAATAATAAAAGTATGAATAAATAAAAATCAAACTACAAAACAATGTAGTTAACGTACAAGTGCAAGTGTAAATGTGAAAAACAATATTCAGAGCACAGAAAACCTATTGCAGTCCAGAGGAATAAACACTAACTAAACACACACAGAGGTGGTCCTACACTGGAGATAATCTGTCAGATATGCCGTGGATTCCTCGTAAGCCATCAAAAGAGCAAACCAAACTAGAACCTGGAAGGGCGCAAAACAGAAAGTGTGAGTGGGTAAAAACAAAGCTTTTCAAAATCATTTCATTATCAAAAGTTCTAACCCCTCACCGTAAAACCTGTATAGTTTCCCAGAAAATAGAATATACACATATATCGAAAACATGTTCAGAAATATGCCATGTCGAATGCCTCCACATAAAATGTAAGTAACCCAGGTAATGTTAATCAATGCAATGTAACATGTCAGCCGGAGTCACCTAACATGACCTGTACGGCTGAATCTAGAGCTCAAATCCCCAACTCACTAACTATTCCTGCACACGAGTCGGAACCACCTAAAATGGTTTGTACGACAGGACTGGGTGTAAATAAATACACTCAAGTGCTACGATCACGTGAAGACTGAGCGAATAATTGCGGGTCACCTACGAGTCGGAACCACCTATAGTGGTCTATACGACAGGACTGTGCACTTAACTTAGATCCAAGATGAGCGTGTGATGCAAGTGGTGAACATCAAGTGAAGGACTATGCCCTACTCTGGGCAGGAGCACTGACACCGGGGGTGCATGTTATGAGCTCTCTATGCATCTCACATAACCACTAATTCACAACCATAAACCATAAACTTACCTGGAACTTACATGTGCGTCCGCTGCACTAAACATACATATATGCAACTACTAATGCATAAATAAATAGGCAAACGCTATGCATGACATTTAAAACATATAAACATTCCATATCATTTTCTGGGAAAAACCACAAGTATATAGGTATATACGGAAAACCAAAAGCTCACTCACTGATATGTGGAAGGGTTGTAACCCTCTTGCCTTGAGTGACTGCGCTCGTCCTCAGAATAGATCTCACCTATATGCCAAACAACTATAAAAACGTCAATTTAAAGAACATAATCAAAACTAGGTAATAACTTCTCATACAATGCTCAAATGGGGTGTGTGTGAATACACCAACGTGGTCTACTCAACCTCACGAACATCTCCATATTTTTAAAATAATTTTCTGACCACCCACGCGCCGCCACGCGCTGGCCAAGGCAGGGCCAGACGCGCCAGCCACGCGCGGACACGTGTGGTAACCCTAATGTCGTTAGGGAATATTCTGTCCAAAAATGGAATATACCGTTATATATACCCGCCGTCTACAACACGAATTTTCACCGGAAACTGGAAAATTTTCAAAACTTCATATCTTCTTCATTTCTCAACCAAATTCCATGAAATTGATACCAAAATGAAGTTTACAACGAGTAGAACAAAACCTTACCACTTTGAAGCCCTGAAATTCACAGAATCTCGCCGGAGAAACCTCGCAAAATCCGGCCAACCTTAGAACTTGCTATCCTGACGTCCAAAATCCTTCAAACTTGTTCCCTGAGCTTCGTGAGAGTATTCTAAAGCTCTCTAAGACCTTAAAATCCACTGAAACCTTCACGATGATTAGTGCATGAACAGTGCATGAAAATTGGGTTCTCAGGTTCTAGGGTTTTCGAGGGTTTCAAGTTCTAAAAATGGTATGGATGAACTCAAGAGCTTGCAAGGAGTTCGAATCTTACCTTCTAGACGTCGATCTGTGCGTGAAAGGTTGGTTTTGAAGTTCGTCCGTACACTTGCAAAGGAAATGGAAGAAAATCTGAGAGAAGGAAGAGAGAGGGAGTCACGGGAGTGTGTGGTATGGGTGTGTGTGTGTACTGTAGAGTCAGCCACCAAAAACAACTAAACAACACACCAAAATGGCAAATACCCACCAAGGGCAAAATCATCATTTCACACCTACGGTACGAATAATCCGGAACGGGCTGTCACATCTACTTTATGAATACCAAGTAACATATGTATGATGAACTATCCATTATTATTTGATACCTTTTAATGATTAAACAATTTCTGATTAGAATGATTTTTCTTTGTAAAAATGATCTTTAGTTGAAGATAAAAAATTAAAAGGTTCTGACGGTGGAATTTATACAGTGAGTGACGCAAGTAATATCCTTCACATTTAACACGAGACCTGACGAAATTTGTGAGAACCTCTTGCATCAACTTAACTTAGAAGAATAATATACGCCACAAAAAATTAAGTGCTCAGGTCAAATTTTTTTGGAACGTATAGCAGGTTTAATACGATAATAACCTGTTGTTGTCTGCTTATTCATGAAACACGATAATCATAAATTATTTTTATAAATTGGCTGAACAATATTTAGCCTAATAATTATTTTCAATTCTTTTTTAAACTAATCATTTAGCCTACAATATTATTTATTTTATTTTTTATATTATGCAAGTATATGTTTTGGCAAAGTGTTTGAACATATGTTATATAATCTGTTTGGAATAATTTTATGGTATTCCAAGTTGTTTTCATTATGTCGTAATTAATATTATATGATAACATTTTATAGCTGGATATTCAATTAGAGAAAATAAAATGAGAGAAACAAATAATATGCCACGATAAACTCGTAAATGGTTTAGGTTTATATATTTGAACACAATAAGTGAATGGATCAAAATAAAAGTTAGCATAAATTACAAAACACAAGCACGTTAAAAAACATGTACTCAAATTATACATCGACTAGACAAGCCCTTCCTTTTGTTTCTCTAATAATATATAGATAAGCCCTCCAAGGCTAGTTTTGTTCATACAAATATATTTGTCTACATTAACCACACTATGTAATTTTTAATCTGAGGGGACAAATGGACAAATATCTTAGGACAATCTTAGAAGCAAACTTGGCTTGCAGTACTTGGCCTTTTCAAAGAAGACGCAAAATATGACGAAGTAGCATACGCACAACATAAGAAGTTTTACTTGGATTGATTGCGATACTTTGATCTTAATCAATTACACACTTTGACTTTGTTGCTTCCTCAATTGACAATGGATGCTATAGTCTCATCTTTTTCAGAAATAACGTGTTCAACTTCTCAGAATCCGAAAGTCCAATAGGCTATTTAAGTCAAGCCAAATTATATGCTGTGATAAAAACCACAACAAAAGCTTATTATTATAGCAAGTCCACCTGTCTTAAGAGGTCAAGGGCAAGGCAAGAGCAAGGGTATATGAGTTGCACTTACCATTCATTCTGAATATTACTTGTCTTTTCACAAATATATACTTTTAGTCTTACGCTTTGAAAACAAAACAATTTTACTTCTAATAAATTATTTTATATACAAGACAAAATCATAGCATTACGACAAACATAATTAATTTTAAAAAGACGAATAACTCCCTTAATAATATGGCCAACTATATATGAAATTGAAACAATATTATTGCTAATAGCATTCAACTTAGAAGATAAAATTAGTGTGGCTCGGTTTGTCTTCCCTTGGAACGTATGGAACTTCCTCATACTCCGCGGAAAACCTCATTCAATCCGACGATCGAAAATTGAGAGGAATATATATATTTGAAAGATAAAAAAAAGTGTGTAAATAGCACCACCCTATTAGTATTTGAATTTTGGCACATCATGGTTATTGTTTTTATTTTTCACCATCAATTAAGGAGTGGTGGATTTTTATTTACAAGTACAACCCTAGATATGGTTTTTCTACTTTTCTGTACATATGAGGTGTTCCATCATAAACAATAATTTCAACCCGATTTTATTTTCGCATTGTTAGGTTTGTTCCAATGGGTAAAGGCTCTCCATGGCAATAGACAATTCAATCCCCTCAAGTGAATAACAACTCTCTTTAATGAACAGTAATTGCCTATTGCATCTCCACCCATAAACTGTGTGACATCCCACATCGCCCAGGGGAGTGATCCTTAAATGTATATTCTCATCCCTACCTAGCACGAGGCCTTTTGGGAGCTCACTGGCTTCGGGTTCCATGGGAACTCCGAAGTTAAGCAAGTAGCGCACGAGAGCATTCCCAGGATGGGTGACCCATCGGGAAGTTCTCGTGTGAGTTCCCAAAAACAAAACCGTGAGGGCGTGGTGGGGGCCCAAAGCGGACAATATCGTGCTACGGTGGTGGAGCGGGCCCGGGAAGTCGTCCCACCCGGGCCGGGATGTGACAATTTGGTATCAGAGCCTAACCCTGGCCGTGGTGTGCCGACGAGGACGTCGGGCCCCTAAGGGGGGTGGATTGTGACATCCCACATCGCCCAGGGAAGTGATCCTTAAATGTATATTCTCATTCCTACCTAGCACGAGGCCTTTTGGGAGCTCACTGGCTTCGGGTTCCATGGGAACTCCGAAGAACTAATTACTCAAGCACTTCGTATTAAAATATTAGTATTTTTTATTTTATAAAATAATAAAAAATAATTTTATTTGTAATTTCGGATTGGATTTTTAACCGATCTGCTCAAGCCACGTGTCATTATCCGAAAGTACAATTTTTGGTGATTGATTTTGATAAGATTTTTATCCAATTCCATCACATCATGTGTCGTTACCTATTTAGAACAGTTGATGATAGATTTCTGATAAGCTTTTTAATCAATCCCATCGCGCCATATGTCACGGTCTGTTTACAATCTTTGAGGATAGATTTTGATAAGATTTTTAACAAATCACGGTGTGCCACGTGGCATAATCTAGAACCTAATCCTTTCTTTTTTCTCCATGTAACCCACCATCCATCCTAAGAAATCACACACCAAAATCAAAATCTCTCAAAATCTCTATCTTTATTCACAATTTCTCCATCATTTTTACAAATGTCTTCTTCAAGGATCTTGTGAGAAATCGATAAGCAAGAGAAAGAATTGTTTAAGCAAGAGGAAGAAATGTTCAATCTCTAGGAGGGAGAAAATGAGATGGAAGATAAGAGGATGAGGAGCGGAGAAAGATGGAAGATGAAGAATTGTTGTTGAGTCATCCAAGATGTGGTTGAGATCTCCAGGCCTACGTGTTCAACAAACATTAATATAAGCAGGCAACAACGAGGTAAGGATCTCGTGGACAATTATTTTGACCGTAACAATGCATTCCCAGATGTGTACTTTAGACGTCGTTTTAGAATGCAACAACATTATTCACCAAAATCATGATTACTGTTTGCAACCATGATTCTTACTTTGTGTAAAAGAATGATGCTTTTGGGGTCATGGGTCTCATTTCTGAGCAAAAAATTAATGTTGCCTTGCAGATGCTTGCATATAGAGTATTTGCAGACCAAGTGGATGAGATAGTGAGGAAGGAAAAATCAACCATTCTTGAGTCCCTGATGAGGGTTTACTCCACAATCGAAGTTATCTACATCGAAGAGTACCTCCAGAGTCCCACGACAAATGATCTGCAAAGGCTTCTAAAGAAGGGTGAGACGTAAGGTTTTCCTTGCATGATTGGAAGCATCGATTGTATGCACTGGACCTAGAAAAAATGCCCAAGTGCATGGCAAGGAGCTAATGGAGACAAAAAATGAGCCAAAACTATCATTTTGGGGGCGGTGGCATCATTTGATACATGGATTTGGTATGCTTTTTTCAGTGTTCCAGGAGCTCAAAATGACCTCAATGTCATTGCCCATCCCTAATGTTCAATGATGTTTTGTAAGGAATAGCTCTTCAAGTCACATATACAATCAATGAAACCGTACACTCAGGGGCATACTATATAGCAAACGGCATTTACCCAATGTGAACATCATTTGTCAAAACAGTGTCATGTTCACAAAGTGAAAAGGAAAAACACTTCGCAAGATGTCAAGATGGGTGTAGGAAGGATGTGGAGTGTTGTTTTGGTATCTTCCAAGCTTGTTAGGGCGATTGTCAGGGGTGTTACCAGATTGTTTGATGTAAAGGCGTTTTAATCCATCATGATGATGTGTATTATTCTTCACAACATGATTGTGAAAGATGAGTATGGTTATGATGCCATTGATGAATTTGAACCAAACACGATAAACAATTCCAAAACATACCAGACACGGTGAACAATTCCAAAACATAGATATATTGTGCTCATGACACCATCAAAGACCCCTTGCAACACGAGCCATTGGAAAAGGATGGATGTTACAATAAAAGGCTCATTCAACGATATACTTCATTCCAATCCTCATACTATCACAAAGCATGGTAATAGAGCACTTGTGGGGATTGAAACAAGTTTAAGAAACTTAAAAACAAGCTTGTGGTGGAAGAAGAATGCTCTTAGTTTGTTTGGTGTGTTTTTCTAAGTTCATTTGGTGTGTTTTTTAATTTTATTTAGTCTGTTTTTTAAGTTCATTTAGTGTGTTTTTTTTAAGTTTATTTGGTGTGTTTTTTATGAGGTTTATTTGGTGTGTTTTTGTAATTTATTTGGTGTGTTTATGTTGTTTGAATAAAGATGCTCTTACTTTAAATGGAGTACCAAATTAAATAAAGATACTCTTAGTTTAAATAAAGTACTAAATTAAATAAATACGAAATTACATAGAGTACCAAATTAACTAAATACGAAATTACAACCCAAAGTGAATGGAAAATTATGGGCTCCAATTTTACAACAAATTCCTCAGTCATCAGCTAACCAATTTGTGGTGCTAGGACCATCTCCACTTGCTCCCTCATCTCTTGCACGCCTTATTCGCACCACGTCCGGTTTCTTCGAATTCCAAAAATATTTAGAATTCGGAGACATTTTTTCTACAGCCATGTTCATAATGTCATGATTTTGTTGAGCCATTCTTTCTTCTCTAAGCATCTCCTTTTCTTGCCTAAGTAGCTC